TCTTGCTTTCTCTCTTCTTCTGGCACCCCCATAATTCGGATGTTGGTCCACTTGAAGTTGTCCCAGAGGCTCTTTACACTATCTTCATATTTTTGGATTGTTTTTTCTTTTTGTTTTTCTGGTTGGGTGTTTTTTGCTTCTTCATATTTCAAATCTTTGACTTGATTCTTGCGATCCTCTGGTCTGCTGTTGGGAGTCTGTATAATATTCTTTATTTCAGTCAGTGTATGCTTAATTTCTAGTTGTTCCTTTTTCTTTTTTTTAAATATATTTTATTGATTTTTTACAGAGAGGAAGGGAGAGGGATAAAGAGTTAGAAACATTGATGAGAGAGAAACATCGATCAGCTGCCTCCTGCACACCCCCTACTGGGGATGTGCCTGCAACCAAGGTACATGCCCTTGACCGGAATCGAACCTGGGACCCTTCAGTCCCCAGCCCAACGCTCTATCCAGTGAGCCAAACTGGCTAGGGCTAGTTGTTCCTTTTTCATATCCTTGAGGGTCTCACTAGATTTATCAAGGGTCTCACTAAATTTATCGGTGGTTTCTAGAAAATTCTTAAAAAACTTTATAACCGTGGTTTTGAACTCTATATCCAGTAGTTTGCTTTCCTCCATTTCTGTCATTTGTGACCTGTTTCTTTGTCTCCTCATATTGGCTGCTTCCCTGTGTTGATAGAGTGGCTTTCTGTGCTAGGTGTCCTATAGGGCCCAGTGGCTCAGCCTCCCCAATTACCTGAGGTGGACACTCTTGGTGCACCCCTTTGTGGGCTTTGTGCACAGTCTTGTGTAGCCTTGTGTAGTTAAGCCTTGATTGTGTAGTTATCACTGGGAGGAACTGACCTCCAGGCCAATTGGCTGTGAGAATCAGCTGTGTCTGCAGTGGGAGAACTTCTGTGCTGAAGACACCCTTCTGGGGCAAGACTTGCTTCAGTGGGGCTTTGGTGCTCACTCAGTCTGCCCCCTGAGTGTGTCCCTTATGGATCTGAGGAGTTGTAATCTGGATGGTCCCACTCTGACCACTGGGTACACTGGCTCTTGGATCTAAGGAGGTGCTAATGTAGCCTCTGCCTGAGGCTACCCAGCAGGAGCTATGAAGAGATCTGCAGATTCCCCTTCCTTTTTTGGGGGTTTGGAGGTGCCCAGATGAGGCCAGCTGTGAAGCAATGCAAGCTGCGGTGGGGCCTTGGGCCTTCTCTTGGAAGTTCTGGGTCTACCTGGCCCAGCTGCAATTTGTTAGGTAATTTTCAGATTGCAAAGGGTCAGGGCATTCATATGCAAAAGCCTCTGCCGCAGCCTGGGTGGGTCGGGGTCTCAGGGAATCAACAGGGCAGAGCAAGCAGCTATGGCTGATCCTCAGCCCTGCCCTAAGGGGCCCCACATCTCAGTGTCCCGGTAATTGCTGCAAGCACCCCTGAGGGAAAGCCGCCCTCAAGTTCCGAGTTCTGCCTGCTGCCAGACAGTTCAGTTTCTCCCCGTATGAGTCCTGGGTCCCCAGAGACTTCCTGGAACTTGAGTTCAGAGCAGTCGGGGGCTTGATACTCCCTCCCGATTCAAAAAGACAGCCACATCTCACTTCTAGGAATATATCCCAAGAAACCAGAAACACCAATCAGAAAGGATATATGCACCCATATGTTCATAGCAGCACAATTCACCATAGCTAAGATCTGGAAACAGCCTAAGTGCCCATCAGTAGATGAATGGATTAGAAAACTGTGGTATATCTACAGGATGGAATACTATGCTGCTGTAAAAAAGAAGGAACTCTTACCATTTGCAACAGCATGGATGGAACTGGAGAGCATTATGCTAAGTGAAGTAAGCCAGTCAATGAAGGAAAAAAACCACATGATCTCACTCACTCATGGATAATAAAGACCATTATAAACTTCTGAACAAAAATAGATACAGAGGCAGAGCTGCCTCGAACAGACTGTCAAACTACAACGGGAAAGCCCGGGAGGGTTGAGGGGCAGGAGGGGGTGGGTAAGAGATCAACCGAAGGACTTGTTTGCATGCATATAAGCATAACCAATGGACATAAGACACTGGGGGGTAGGGGAGGCCGGGGATTGTTAAGGGCAGGAAAAAAAGGAGACATATGTAATACTCTTTGTAATACTTTAAGCAATAAAACAATTAAAAAAAAAAAAAGACAGCCGCGTCCTCAGGTCCAGCCCCTTTCCGCATGGGCTCGAGCCTCCGTACCTCTGCACTTTACTTTCGCACCTCCTCTGAGTCTCAGTGTGCTTTTCTCTTTCCTTCTAGTTGTAGAATTTCCACTCAGCCAGCCTTCCTGTAGTTCTGGATGATGTCCATTTTGTCTTTTCGTTGTATTTTTGAAGTTGTTGTGGGAGACAGCAATTTCCGGTGTTTACCTATGCCGCCATCTTGGTTTCTCCGATTTTGTTATTTTTTAATACTAACAAATAGATTCCTAATCTTTTAAGTAGTAACTACTTTAAAAAAATCACCATATCAATACATTCTTTTTTCAGGTTGCTTATGTTGTATATATAAGTAAAAAAAAAAAAACAAAACAAGTCTGAGGCAATATACAATTTGCCAAAGCTATCTGGCTATCAGTCAAGAATCCCTTTCTATTCTGCACAGCCCTGGAGGATATATTAGGACTTATTCCTATGTATTCCCCTGAAAAAGCCGTTTCCCTAACACATGGGTCATTTGCACTGAAAAATATGATTAGAATAAAGGCTGGAAACCACATCAGGTGGCTGGATGTCTCCTGCACCGTCATGAGATGCTAGGCGTTGGGATAAGTATGTACTGAGTATCTAGCATAGGGCTTGCTACTAAGTAGACGGTCACTAAATATTTGTTGAATAATTGATGCCCATTTAACAAATTTTCTTCAACTGTTGAGAACTCCAAACCTTATGCAGGGCAAAATGTCTTTTTATTTTAACTCTAGTCTATGCCTGCAATGGGATTTATGAAAAGTGCCATCTCTATATCTGAGGATGAAACTTGGAAGAGAATACGAACATTGCTATCTCCAACCTTCACCAGTGGAAAGCTCAAGGAGGTAAGAGTATAAGAGAATATTTAATTTGAAATTTAAAGAATGCATCTGGGGACTGGAAGAAAGTAAGATCGTTTCTTTCCAAGGGTAGCCTGCTGAATTTGAGCTTCCTAATAATGGTCTTTTATCTTTATATCCTAGAAGTGACAATATAAGATTCATTATAAGATATCACTTACTGCTCCATGCTTGAGAAAGCCAGGTCTTCTAGTACTCGAGACTTCCCACTTAACTGCGGGTGTTGTTGTATTTTGTGTCTAGATGTTCCCCATCATTGGCCAGTATGCAGATGGGTTGGTCAGCAACCTGAGGAAGGAAGCAGAGAAAGGCAAGCCCATCCCCTTGAAAGAGTAAGTAGGAGGCCAGCTGCTGGGATTTGGAGCTGGTCCTCAAGACATGCTCCCCACCCCGCCCTGCCCCCAGCCTCCTGCCAGAGCCCAATTCCCACTGAATTACTGTAATGACCAGAAAGAAGTAAGTGTGTGGTGTTAGAACTCCAATGGGCTACCCAAGAGGATGTGGCTCCTCCAAAAAGCAGAGCAGCCAGGAGAGAAAGATCTTCTCCTGTGTATATGAACCAGGATTAATTTGTCTGTTTACTTGTCACCTTGGATATTCTTGAAGACAAAAATACATAGTTTAGAAAGTAGAATCATGATTGTACCAAAGTTTTCAGTGTAGAGGATGTGAAATACTGGCAGGGGAAGGCACTGGTATGTATTAGTGAGCAGTGGGTGGAGCAGGGAAGTTACAATGTGGAACTTGGAACAACTTCATGATTTTGGTGAGGATACCAGCAAAATATGAAATATTAAACCTTCCCACCACTTCTCCTTTCTTTAGTCTCAAATTAAAGAAGGTCCTGTATAGACTATGGGTAGGAGAGCATGTCATTTATTGTCTAAATTAAGATATGTTTAACTATGCAGGAACAACACAGGTAAAGTGGGACTGATCTGGGGAAACTGGGGACATATGATCACTTACCTATGGGATTCCCTCAAATTGATTTTGGGGTGATTTTTAAAATTATTTCTTAAACCAGAAACATTCTTAGTTCTTACATTTTACAGAAATGCATGTGCCCTAAAGGCAACTTGAGATACTGGACTTGAGGACAGTGGGTCTTTCAGGAGCTTTAGCAGGAGTGCAGAGAAGGAGCGATGGCATTCCTGGCAACTCAGACCAGGGTGCTGCTGTTCTGTCATGTGCTGAAGCAGAATCAGCTCTGAGTATAGACACTGTGGTGAGGCAAGACCCAGATCAATGTCACCTTTCTTGACTCCACTGGGAAGAGTCATTACCTACCCTTGGTCCTGCTCAAGCACAGTATGGCTACTATTGTCCAGACTCAAAACACACTAGTGTAATTTGCCTGATTATGGGTCTCCTTCCCTCTGACTGATCTCTTATTGCTCACAGGTGGGTCTAACTTGCCTTGGTGTCCCCAGAACCCAGCTCAGGGCCAGCTGTATCACTGGCATCTGATAAACACCTCATGATTGACTGTGACAGGAGCATAGATTCTTTAGATGATCCAGCAGATGGTTTTGACAGTTGTGTGGCTCTTTACCTGTCTTTGCCTGGGCATATGAATTTACGTGTCCTTCCTATTGTATGCGTTGGTAAGGATAGTAAAGAGGTGCTGATTTTAATTTTCTATGTCTTTATTTCTCTACTCAGTGTGTTTGGGGCCTACAGCATGGATGTGATTACTGGCACATCATTTGGAGTGAACATCGACTCCCTGAACAACCCACAAGATCCCTTCGTGGAAAATATCAAGAAGCTCTTAAAATTTAATTTACTTGACCCATTCATTTTCTGCCTAAGTATGTGGACTACTGTATTTTTTTTCTTTCTCCCTCATGTCTTCCCTCTTTTCACCACCTTTCTCTCTCTCTCTCTCTCTCTCTCTCTCTCTCTCTCTCTCTCCCTCTCTCTCTCAGCTCATTTGAGATATCATTCACATACTATATAATTCAGCCATTTAAAATGTACAATTCTATCATTTTTACAACCTAGTGTCTGTCAACAGATAAATGAATAAAAAATCTGGCATATATAGATAGATGATAGATAGATAGATAGATAGATAGATAGATAGATAGATAGATAGATAGATAGATAGATAATAGATAGAATGGATATTATTCAGCCATAAAAAGGAAGAAAATCTTGCCATTTGCAACAAGATGGATGGACTTTGAGGGCATTATGCTAAGTGAAATGAGAAAGACAAATACTGTAGGATCTCACTTATATGTGGGATCTAAAAAAATACCCAAACTCAGAAAAATAAGAAATGATTTGTGGTTATCAGAGGCAGAGTTTGAGGGTGGGAGTTTTCGTTGAAGGTGCTCAAAAGATACAAACTCTCAGTTATAAGATAAACAAGAGTCTAGATTCTTAAAGTTCTAATCACACAGAAAGAAAAATATTTTTAACTATGTACAGTGATTTATGTTAACTAAACTTATTATGGTCATTATTCCATAATATATGTATATCTAGTCATTATGCTGTATACCTTAAACTATGTCAATTATAACTCAATGAAATGGAAAAATTGTTTTTAGTACATTCAGAGATATGTGTAGCCATCATTATATTACCTAGAACAATAGAGGCCCGGTGCACGACATTTGTGCACTGGGCGGGGCATCCCTCAGCCCGGCCTGTGCCCTCTCACAGTCCAGGACCCTTAGGGAGATATATGCCTGCCACGGAGGTGGGAGAGGCTCCCACCACTGCCGCTGCACACGCCAGCCGTGAGCCCAGCTTCTGGCTGAGCTGTGCTCCCCCTGTGGGAGCACACTGACCACCAGGGGGGCAGCTCCTGCATTGAGTGTCCCCCCTGGTGGTCAGTGCATGTCATAGTGACTGGTCATTCCGCCATTCAGTCAATTTGCAGACAGTAGGTCCTTGGGTCACATTGGAGATCCGTTCCAACTGCGTGAAGTAATGTGATTTTCGCTCTAAGTTGGAACCCACCTACATAAGCACCTATGTCACTCACATACCCAGCAGCAATTAAGTGAAACAGTAAAAAAAAATTTAAAAGAAAGATAACAATTCCTGACCTTTACTTGTGGTAAATAAATAATAAAAAACATAAAGCACATATGCACAAAAATGATGGAACTTTTTTTTAAATAAATAAATGGGAGATGGCAATGTAACCACAAAACAACATATGTCGAGTCCAACATAACCCGAGGACTGTCTGCATTAGGGTTTTATTATATAGGATTTTTGTCAACTTAGATATATGGTACTTTTTAACATTAACATTCCACTCCCTTTAGCTCAAAGCAACCTCTAATCTACTTTCTGTCTCTGTAAATTTGCCTATGCTGGACACTTCATATAAATAGAATCACATATGTGGATTTTTGTTGCTGGCTTTTAAAAATTTAGTATAATGTCTTCAAGGTTCATCCATGTTGTAGTATGTATCAGTATTTTATATTTATTATGACCCAATAATATTCCATTGTATGAACATTATGTTTATTCATTCATCAGTTAATGAACATTTTGGTTGTTTCTACCTTTTGGCTCTTGTGAATAATGTTGTTGTAAACATTCTGTACACTTTTTTTGTGATTACCTATTTCAATTTTGGGGGGTTTCATTTGGTTTTAATTCAGGGGTGGAATTGCTAAATACTATATTAATCTGTGTTTACCTTATCAAGGACCTGCTAAACTTTATTCTACAGTAGTGACACCATTTTACATCCCCATCAGTAATGTATGAAGGTTTGAATTTCTCCACACCCTCACCAACACTTGGTTGACATTTTTCTATCTTTTTTATTATGACCATTCTAGTGGGTATGAATTGGTATCTCATTGTGGTTTTTATTTGGATTTCTCTAATGACTAATGATTTTGATATATTTGTTGGCCATTTTTGTATCTTCTTTAGATAAATTTCTATTCAAATGTTTTGCCCATTTACATTTGAGTTGTTTGTCTTTTTGTTGTTGAGTTATAAGAATTCTTTATATATTCTAGATAAAAATTTCTTATTAGATATATGAGTTCAGAATTTTTCTCCTATTCTGTAGGTGTCTTTTCTTCTCCTTGATAGAGTCCTTTGAAGCACAAAATTTTTCATTTTGATGATCTTTAATTTATGTATTTTTTATTTTATTGCCTGAGGTTTTGGTGTCATGTATAAGATCCATTGTCAAAAAAAAAAGATCCATTATCAAATATGTCATAAATAGTTATCACTTGGGCCAGGGATTAAACCTGCAATCGAGGTACATGCCCTTGACCAGGAATCAAACCCATAAGCCTTTGGTCTGAGGGCCCACGCACTAACCACTGAGAAAAACTGGCCAGGGCATATCTATTTCTTTTTGAGTTAGTTTCTATAGTTGTGTCTTTCTAGAAATTTGTCCATTTTATCTAAGTTATCTTATTTATTGGCATACAGTTGTTTATAATATCCCCTTATAGTTTTTTAATTTTTTAATGTCAGTAATAATCTCCCCTTTTTCATTTCTGATGCCAGAAGTTTGGATCTTTTTTTTTCTTGGTCAATTTACCTAAATGTCTTCCAAGAATCATCTTTTGATTTCATTAATCTTCGCTATTGTTTTTTATTCTTTATTGTATTAGTTTCTTTCTTATCTGTATCATTGCTTCCTCCTGCTTGCTTTTGGTTTTGTTTGCTCTTTTTTTCAGTGTGTTAAGGAGAAAAGTTTGGTTATTGATTTGAGATCATTGTTCTCTTTAAATGTAGACATTTATAGCCATAAAGTTCTCTCTGAGCGCTGCTTTTGCTACATCCATGAATTTTGGCATGCTTTCTCTTAATTTTTATTTATCTCAAAGTATTTCCTAATTGCCCTTTAGATTTTTGTAGGACCCATGGGTTATTTAGAAGGGTATTTTTAAATTTCCACATAGCCAGGTTGCGTTGGTGGTATAGTGGTGAGCATAGCTGCCTTCCACATAGTAGTGAGTTTCCCAATTTTCTTTGTTATAAATTTCTAATTTCATTCCATTATGGTTGAAAGACATACTCTGTATTATTTCTATCCTAGCTACAAATTCATTTTTTCAAAATATACTTTTGTTAATATTTATATTATTATACAATGCACATTTCCTATAAAATTTTCAGAATTGTTTTAAAAGACAAAGAAGAAACAAGACTCACCTATAATTAAACTCTCAGATACAATCATTGTTGACATTTTAGTGTCTAGTGTTCCACTGTGTTCAGGCATGTGTATCTGACTACTATTTCTAGAATGGGGTGATTAATTAAATAAATCAGACTCTGCTCTGATTTAGATAAAAGACAAAGCCATTCAGGGATGTAATCCTGTTTCTTTAGTCATCCAAAAGATGGGAAGGGGCCATGATCTCACTGCTATAGTGATGGCCCGTCTGTGTGGACTTGCCCTTGCGCAGCCTCGGTCTTGGAAGTCTGAGCAAAGGGCAGAGAGGGACTGGCTCCTGGTTGAGAAGCCTGGTGTCTTTTACTCTCCTCATTGGTAGAGAAAATTATAATTGCTCCCGGTACATTTTGTATTTTCATTGTGCTTTCTTTTTTCTTGCAGCACTCTTTCCATTCCTTGGCCCAGTTTTTGAAGCATTTAATATTTTTATATTCCCAAAAAGTGTGACTGATTTTTTCAAAAAATCTGTAAAAAGAATGAAAGAAAATCGCCTCCAAGATAAACAAAAGGTAAAATCTGGTGGTGGTTACATGAGTGTGTTCATGCTTTGATAATTTATTGAGCTGGATACTTATGATTTGTGCACCTCTCTTTTTTTAGGTAGATAGAGAACTCTAGGTTTACAGGAGGAAAGTTCTAACATTTTGTGGGGAATGAAGAAGGTGGAGGTTAGGAAAGGAAATAAAAAATGAGTCAGAGAGACACTGTCTAAAATGTAATATAATAATAGGCACAAAGGTCAGTATATCACTGCATGAATATTATTGAGATGAAAAGTTTTCCACTGCCCTTCAATAAATTATCAAAGTATAAAAGTTGCTGTTTAAAATTTGTTTTCCTGGTATAATTCCCCAGAGTTAAAATTGGCAAAGAATCACATCAATTCCAAGCCTCTTATTTTACACATTCTGCAGTGGAAGTTCCCATCAGGCCCCTGGGGGAGTGTACTCTACGTTAAACTGAAGCCTGCTCAGAGACTGGAGAGGGCAGTAGTCTTCTCTGGGCATTGAGGTTGCAAGCTGGCTAACCCAGCTTTGCCTTCATGGGCCTGGAGGCCAGCACAAGAATGTCTGCAGGCCATGGGGATAGGGCTGGGTACCCCAGAATTGCACTGAACGTTGTGGAGAGTTCTGAGATGGTGGCACTTGAAGCTGCTCACAGAAAAAATTGCCAATGAACTCTTCAAATATTAGGAGATTCATCTATGTGGCCATTCATTAAGAATTAAGCCTAGAGAGAAAGGTTTGAGGTCAGGGACATTTTTGTGAGCATGTAGGCATGACAGGAGAGGGAGCAGGTAATTCTTCGGCTATGTTCAAAAGTAAAAGAAGCTGAAGATCAGAGAGAGTGAGGACCAAAAGGCAGCTGGGCATGATGGCTGGATCTTTCTCAGGTAAACACCCTGCTCTCCAAGATTTGTAGCTGGATGTTTTTATTCATTGATAACTCAAGCAACACTAGGCACACTTCTGGACTTAAAGGGGCCATCTTATCAGGAAAGAAATTTAGTATTGCACTTTTTTGTTGTTGTTAATCCTCACCTGAGGATATTTTTCCACTGATTTTTAGGGAGAGAGGAAAGGAGAGGGAAAGACAGAAAAACATCGATGTGAGAAAAACACATTGATTGGTTGCCTCTTGCACAAGCCCGGACCAGGGCCTGGGCTGGAGAGGAACCTGCAACCAAATTATGTGCCCTTGGCCAGAATCAAACTCAGGACCCTTTGATCTGCAGGCCGACACTCTATGTACTGAGCCAAACCGGCTAGGGCTAGTATTGTACTCTTGATTTATTCTAACATTGAATTTTTTCCTTCTGCTTCCAGCACCGAGTGGATTTACTTCAGCTGATGATTAACTCTCAGAATTCCAAAGAAACAGACTCCCATAAAGGTAAACAAGGCATGCTTCAGAGGGCCAGTGATGGGAGGCTCAGAGGTAGTTGACAACCTTAACTTGGAACACTTGGTTAAAATTGTGTTTTATTTTTCATTTGTAATTAATAAGGAACTTGTGGGGAAGCCTTTGAGACTAAGTAAATATTCTGTTCCTCTTCAAACTTTCACCTACTAGTTTTATCATCTATGGATGGTTTTTGACTAGTCATTATTACTATGATGGTTGCAAAATTATGACTTTCTAATTCCATCATTTCTTCTACATTTATGAATTGACTAGAGGCCTGGTGCACAAAATTCATGCATGGGTAGGGTCCCTAGGCCTGGCCAGAGATCAGGGCTGATCCGGGGCCTTACTTCCCGGCCCCTCCCACTGTCCTCATCCATAGGTGTACGATTTTTGTCCAGTCTCTTCCTGCACCCTCACACCCCTTTTCCCCCAAGAACTGTCAGTCCACTCCCTTTCTATGCCCCTGGTTCTATTATATTCACCAGTTTACTCTGTTCATCAGATTTTTTATTCACTTGATTTTTAGATTCACTTGTTGATAGATATGTACTTGCTGTTCATAATTTTTATCTTTACCTTTTTCTTCTTCCTCTTCTTAAAGAATACCTTTCAGCATTTCATATAATACTGGTTTGGTGGTGATGAACTCCTTAGCTTTTTCTTATCTGTGAAGCTCTTTATCTGACCTTCAATTCTGAATGATAGCTTTGCTGGGTAGAGTAACCTTGGTTGTAGGTTCTTGCTATTCATCACTTTGAATATTTCTTGCCACTCCCTTCTGGCCTGCAAAGTTTCTGTTGAGAAATCAGCTGACAGTTGTATGGGCACTCCCTTGTAGGTAACTGACTGTCTTTCTCTTGCTGCTTTTAGGATACTCTCTTTGTCTTTTGCTCTTGGCATTTTAATGATGATGTGTCTTGGTGTGGTCCTCTTTGGATTCCTTTTGTTTGGGGTTCTCTGCGCTTCCTGGACTTGTAAGTCTATTTCTTTCACCAGGTAGGGGAAGTTTTCTGTCATTATTTCTTCAAATAGGTTTTCAATATCTTGCTCTCTCTCTTCTTCTGGCACCCCTATAATTCGGATGTTGGTATGCTTGAAGCTGTCCCAGAGGCTCCTTACACTATCTTTGTATTTTTGGATTTTTTTTTTTCATTTTGCTTCTCTGGTTGGGTGTTTATTGCTTCTTCGTATTTCAAGTCTTTGACTTGATTCTTGCGATCCTCTAGTCTGCTGTTGAAACTCTGCATAATATCCTTTAATTCAGTCAGTGTATGCTTAATTTCTAGTTGGTCCTTTTTCATAACCTCGAGGGTCTCACTAGATTTCTTGAGGGTCTCACCACATTTATTGGCGGTCTCACCAGTCTTTTTGAGGGTCTTACTAAATTTATCAGCAGTTTCTAGAAAGTTCTTGAAAAAACTTAAAAGTGTGGTTTTGAACTCTATATCCAGTCGTTTGCTTTCCTCCATTTCTGTCATTTGTGTCCTGTTTCTTTGTCTCCACATTTTTTATGCTTCCCTTTGTTGGTAGAGTGGCTTTGTGTGCTAGGTGTCCTATAGGGCCCAGTGGCTCAGCCTCCCCAATTACCTGAGGTGGACACTCTTGGTGCACCCCCTTGTGGGCTTTGTGCACAGTCTTGTTGTAGTTAAGCCTTGATTATTGTAGGTATCACTGGGAGGAATTGACCTCCAGGCCAATTGGCATGAGAATCAGCTGTGTCTGCAGTGGGAGAACTTCTGTGCTGGAGACACCCCTCCAGAGCAAGACTTGCTTCAGTGGGGCTTTGGTGCTCACTGAGTCTGTCCCCTGATTGTGTCCTTATGGATCTGGGGAGCTGCAATCTGGATGGTCCCACTCTGACCACTGGGCACACTGGCTCCTGGGTCTCTAAGGAGGTGCTACTCTAGCCTCTTCCTGAGGCTACCCAGCAGGAGCCAGCTGCAGTTTGTTAGGTAATTTTCAGATTGCAAAGGGCCAGGCCTTTCATATGCAAAAGCCTTCGTGCACGGCTTGGGCGGGGCAGGGTCCCAGGGGATCAACAAGGTGGGGCAAGCAGCTATGGCTGCCCTTAGAGGCCCCGCTTCTCAGTGTCTGGGCAATCTCCGAGAGAAAGCTGCCCTCGAGTTCCAACCGATGCCAGACAGTCCAGTTTCTCCCGTATGAGTCTGTGTCCCCAGAGACTTGCCTGGAACTGGAGCTCAGAGCTTGAGACTCCCTCCCGATTGAAAAAGACAACCGTGTCCTCAGCCGCCAGCCCTCTCTGCATGTGCCTCAGTACCTCTGTACTTTACTTCTGCACCTCTTCTGAGTCTCAGTATGCTTTTCTCTTTCCTTCTAGTTGTAGAATTTCCACTCAGCCAGCCTTCCTGTGGTTCTGGATGATGTCCGTTCCATCTTTTAGTTGTATTCTTGAAGTGGTTGTGCTAAGCAGCAATCTCCGGTGTATACCTATGCCGCCATCTTGGGGTTTTTTTGCTACTCACATCACATCTTTTGACAGCTCATACTGTGATTCAGTAGTTTTTGTATGGGATTAAAATTCTGCATTTCTAATGATCTTCCAGATACTGCTGATGATGCTGGTCTATGGACAATACTTAGAGTAACCATATTTTATGTGTAGCCCAGTATCATTCTCTTAAGTTTCTGCAAACATTTTTGAATGAAAGATCCTTTAATTTTCCCCCGCATAAGCCTTAGTGCAAAGTCTCTTAAAAATTATCCAGGGCCCTGGCCGGTTTGGCTCAGTGGATAGAGTGTCAGCTTGTAGACTGGGAGAGTCCCGGGTTTGATTCTGGTCAAGGGTGCGTGCCTGGGTTGCGGGCTTGATCCCCAGTGCGGGGCATGCAGGAGGCAGTGGATTAGTGATTCTCTCATCATTAATGTTTCTATCTCTCTCTCCCTCTCCCTTCCTCTCTGAAATCAATAAAGATATATTTTTTAAAAATATATATTTTTTAAAAATTATCCAGGTATACTTTATCTAGAATAATTTAAAATTTTCCTGGGGAGAAATCTATCCCATATTACTTGTAGCTAAAGTACTTTCAGGATTCTCCAAGGGACAGACTGATAGCAAAACGCTATGTCTTAAAATTGCACAGCTATGTTGTGGAGAGAGTGACACAACCAGAAGCAGATGGTGAAGAATAGAATAGACCTGGTGGGGGGGGGGGGGGGGGCGCAGATGAAGACATTTTTGCCTTTTTCTGGCTCTGTAACATACACATCAGAGTGCAAAACACTCCCAATTTAAGCTGAATTGTTTTTTCAATTTTTCCTATAAGGGTTTGGGAGTTTCATTTGGATTCCTCATAATCTAAATTGTGATGTTGTACATTGACCTGCTTTATAAAATATCTTTCTTCTCCTTTTAGCTCTGAGTGATCTGGAGCTTGTTGCCCAGTCTATTATCTTTCTGTTTGCCGGCTATGAGACCACTAGCAGTTCTCTTTCTTTCCTTATGTATTTGCTGGCCACTCACCCCGATGTGCAGCAGAAATTGCACAAGGAGATTGATGCAACGTTTCCCAATAAGGTGAGTGGGTGATACTTGGAGAGCGAGGGAGAAAGTAAAGCCTCATCAAGAATGCCTCCTCACCACTTTCTAGGAGAATTTTTACAAAGAATGTAAGTATCAATTATTTTACTTGTGCTATTTAGGAAGGATGTAAAAAGACAAAGACAAAAACAATCAAAGAATATAGGTAATTTTTGTTATTAGAGATATATAAGATCTTTGAAAAAAGTGTTGGTCCTGTTGTGTCAGTTATCTGTTATCACAATAATGTCAAATGAAAAAAATTTTTAAAACCTCAGTGGCAATTAACAATAGGAATTTATTGCTCAAGTGTTTGGATAATTATCTGTGTTGATATTGACTGGACTTGCTTTAGTCTGGCTCTTGGCTAAGCGACTGGGTGAATCAGCTCCACACAGGATCCACATATCTCCCATACTCTAGACAACTAGCCTGGGTATGTTCTCCTCAGGCAATGACAGAGGGAATGACCAATAAGCCCAAACATATGGGTGCCTTTCAGAACTCTGCTTGCATCACACTTAACCAATATTCCATTGATTTAAAGCATGCACCATGGCCAACCCTAGGATCATAATAGGAGGGCACAAAGTTAGATGACTAAGGGCATGGACACAGGAAGGTGTGGAAAACTGGCACTATTACTGGAATCTACCACCTTGGGTAAACTGTGCACTCTAGGAGAAGCCTGGTATACAGAAAAGAACATAGTGTAGGAAATAGAAGACATGAGTTGGAGTCCAAACTGTGGTATTGGATAGGTCTTAAGAACTCTCTGTGTCATAGGTCCTTCAAATATAAAATAAGATACATTTTAGGGTCCAACTAAATTAAAGATTATTTTTCTTCTCTGGGTAAGCCTATATTGGAGATCATTTTTTTGCAATAAGATGGAAAGTTCACTAAGAAACAGACTAGCTAAAGCATTATGTTCTCCCCTCTTAATAAGAGTAACAATGACAATAACAACACTAATAGCTAACATATACTTCTCACTATATTTGTCTGTTCTAAATGCCTTATATTTATAAATGAATTTTTTAAAAATTCTGTATTAAAAATAGAAACAGACTCATAGATAGAGAACAGACTATCAGAGGGGAAGGGGGCTTTGGGAGGCTGGGTGAAAAAGGTGAAGAGGTTAAGCAAAAAAACCTAATTCACACAGCCCTAGTCACTTTGGCTCAGTGGATAGAGTTTCGGCCCTCAGACTAAAGGGTTCTGCGTTTGATTCTTGTCAAGGGCACATACCTTGGTTGCAGGCTGGACCATTGCCATGATGTGGAAGCAACCAATCCATGTGTCTCTCTCACATTGATGTTTCTCTGTGTGTGCCTTTCCCCCTCCCTTCCACTCTCTCTAAAAATCAATGGAAAAATATCCTCAGGTGAGAATTAACAAAAAACAAGAAACTCATAGACACAGACAATAGCATGATGATTACTAGAGGAGAATAGGCGTTGGCAGAAGTAGAAGAGAGTATGGGGCGGGGCGGTGGGGATAAATGGTGATGAAAGAGACTTGATTTGGGGTGGTGAACATACAATACAATACACAGATGGAATATTAGAGTATTGTAACTGAACCTATATAATTTTATTAACCAATGTCACCCCGATAAATTCAATTTTAAAAAGTGATACATTAGTCAGAATAGGCTAAATTTGCCACAACTACAGATTAGCCCTCTATTCTCAGTGGATTTACATTGCAAAGGATTATTTCCAACTCACATTAACATGTCCAACATGGATTGTTAATGAAGGATGGGAGTGGGACTTTGTGCTCCATAGTTACTCAGAAATATAAGCTAAAAAGGACCCATTTTCTTGTAGCTGCACTTTCTGGAGCACAGGGCCTTTATCTTGGTTGGGGAATAAAGAAGTAGAGTGTTGCTCACTGGATTTTCAAGTGTTTTGACTCTGAACTGACATATGTCACCTCAGCTCATAGCCCATTCTCAAAGCTGGTTCCCTCTAGCTTTTAGTGGGCTGGGGGATGTGGAGACCACATGGATATTGGGTGAGCAGTGATGTCTCTACCAAACAACCCTATGAAGTGTCAACTCTAAATATCTCCATGCAGCCGAACCGGTTTGGCTCAGTGGATGGAGCGTCGGCCTGCGGACTGAGGGGTCCCAGGTTCGATTCCGGTCAAGGGCATGTACCTTGGTTGCGGGCACATCCCCAGTGGGGGGCGTGCAGGAGGCAGCTGATCGATCTCTCTCATCGATGTTTCTAACTCTCTATCCCTCTTCCTTCTTCTCTGTGGAGGATCAATAAAATATATTTTAAAAATAAATAAATAAATAAATAAATAAATAAATAAATAAATAAATAAATATCTCCATGCAACATATCAGAAAACTGAGAGGTGAAATAATTTTCATACACTAGTCATATAGCTAGTGGTGAAGAAGCCTGAACCTCTACAGTATTGCCTCTTCAATATAACACCAAGTGATACCCACATATTGCCCACACTGTTTTCAGATATCTGACAAAACTGGAACTCTTTGTGGTAGGAAGAGACTGGCCTCTGGGGCTGGAGAGGCTTGTATGAGATCTTCACAGCTTACAGTCAAACCCTGAACAACAACTAGGAGACTGTTCCAGCAAGGCAGCATGAGGCTGAGTGGGGTTCCACCTCTTTACAACTTCTGCTAGAATGAAATTGTGTGCCCTGCTTTCATTCTTTTCAGTCATACCCTTCTTTTGCTATACGTACAGAGTTTTGTTATTTATAGAGTTTCTATTTATATGGTATTTCTCTCCAAATTATATATATAATCTAAAGGCTTAGTAAGCAGGATTTTTCAACTAAACACTGTCAAGTTGGAATTTTGCTTTTTTACACATTTTCTTTCCTTTGTACAGAAGTGTGGCCTCTCTTTTGAAAACAAACAGTGACCTTACCGTATTTCAGTTAAGAATATGGGTCATAGTCTATTACTCACATGAGTTAAAAAAAAAATCACTACACGGTAATGTGAGGGATTTTGGGTCCTGTTTAAGGAGTTGTCCCCAACATCCTCCCATAGTCATAACTACTCCACACATCTCAATGGGCCATTAAGCAGGCCAAAGTACACGACAGATATTAAAATGTCTATAAATCCTAAAGTCCTTTACCCAAATAAGTTATTCTTTGGAGCTCCTAACATTTCTATAGAACTACATAGACTGAATTGAAAGTTGATCTCAAATCTCCGTTTATCAAAATCTGTTTCTTTCTTCCCAGGCAATTCCCACCTATGATGCCCTGGCACAGATGGAGTATCTTGACATGGTGATGAATGAATCCCTCAGATTATTCCCAATTGCTGGTAGACTTGAGAGGGTCTGTAAGAAGGATGTGGAAATCAATGGGGTGTTCATTCCCAAAGGGACAGTCGTGATGGTGCCAAGCTTTGTTCTTCACCTCGACCCGACGTACTGGACAGAGCCTGAGGAGTTCCGTCCTGAAAGGTACTGGACCTCTGGGAAAGGGAACCCACCCTCATCCAGGCTGGTTGGACATGTTCCGATGTCTTTTAGTATAGATGATGAATGTGTGGTTGTACAATCATTGATATGTACATTTTTCTGTTTTTACAAGAGTAATCATTGTTTGTTGACAAAATTTTACAAACTCTAGACTAGTACAAGAAAATTGTATCTGTCCATAGTACTAATATCTTGATAGGCCTCATTAGTAATGCACTGTATGTCATTATTGACATTTTCTAAGCATATATAGATATTTAAACTTAAAATAGTAATATATTTTTTATTTTGAACTGCTTACTTTATTTACCAGTAAACTATAAACAGTGTCCTTTTATATATAACCATCATATATAGGTATGCATACATATAAATATTTATGCAGATGTGACTATATGCTTATGCCATAAATTACTTAATCATTATCTGATTTCAGGAATGTAGGCCTTTTTACTTCTTTAAATTTTTCTGTGTTGTTCTCATTAGCTCTCTGAATTTACCACCAACGTTCCCACATTCTGTTTGGGTTTTTTTTCACATTGGTGGCCACATCTTTATCATTATTGGGAGAGTGCATTATGAGAACCTGAGAGGTCCTCATCCCTGATGATTTAAGCAGGCCCTTGAGGACAGAGAACACAAGTCACTGGTCTGTCTTTGGCTACAGTCCTGTGTCAGCTTCCTCCTACTCTCAAAGAAAGTGGTACTTCCAAAGAAAAGTCATCTGCTCTCCAGACACCTGAGACACACCCCCTAGGATGATCTTTAGCATATTCTTATGGAAATTCAGAGCCAAGGACTAGCTTTAGGCATAGCTTGAACTCTAGAAAGAGCTAATGTTTCGCATTTATTGTATTGATGAGCAAAATTGGAATTAACTATTGAGGGCACTAGCTGGGATCTAGGCTTTCATTAGCCCTACTATAAGATCCCTAATGGCAGGGACCTTCTCTCATTTGCCATGGTGTTCTTAGTTCTAGCTTATTGTCTACACATAGTATTTGGTGAAAGAAGAAGTTAGACATGACCAAATCCTCTGTTTTCTGGACCAAGGAGCCTCTGTGTTTCCTCCAAGCTCAACCGTTTTTTCTCCCCCCACCCCCACACCCCGTTGCTTCATGAACATGAAACCAGAGACCACTGACTGTACTGCTCTTTTGATCATTAAGTCTTCCACAGAGAGTAACCGCTTACCATGTCAGGAAATGGGTAAGGCAGTGAGAAATCCAAATGTTAAAAAATGCCTATTATGGAGAAGTTGACACACAAATATACAAAATCATTTTCTACAGATACAAGTCTACTTTTGATTCATCTATGCGTGCCCATCACATGGTTACAGCCATCAAACTATGTCTGCTGCCCCATTCACACTCCATTACTACCATCCTCCTAATTCCCATATTATTTTAAGGCATAACATCTCTAAATATTCCAATGTTCAAGAACCTTTTAAAAATACATAACCACAATGCCATGATCACTTTCCCAAATCCACATTTTCCCTTAATATAATCAAATATTGAGGAATCAAATTTGAATAAAACATAAGTCTAACCTTCAAGGAATTTATAGCCTAGTGGAACAGATAGACAAGGAAATCACAGATTATATTAGAGCAGAGGAGCATCATATGCCCATATGAGTCACCTGATTTAAGCTATTCAATGGGAGAGAGACAGAAGAGGTGAGAGGAAGGGAGGAGAGGAAAGGGGGGAGGGGAGGAAGGAAAGGGAAGGGAAGGAAAAAATAACAATGCAACTAATGAGAGATATGATTCCTACTTCCTTCCTCCATGAGCATGTGACCAACATGAGTTTGATGGAGGCAGGGACCTACTTTTTCTTCAATTAGTCTCATTTCCTACTTGCCTTTCAGAGTGTGAACATCTCAATACCCTGAATGTAATTTAGTTTTAAAGATAAATTTTCCTTTAAACAGCATTCATGTCATCTCTTCAATGATACTGTCGCTCGTATAGGGTATGGGGAATGGGAAGAATCTGTAGCTTACCATTCTTACAGCCACAGAACTATAGCAGGATCTCACTGACTGGCCCAAAGGAGTATTCTGTATACTACTTGTAGAGGAGCCTAAGAACCCCAAACATGTAGCTCTTGTGGTGTTTATGTTTCATTAATTGTTTGCATTTACTGTTATATAACCAGGTTTAGCAAGGAGAACAAGGACAGCATAAATCCTTACATATACACACCCTTTGGAAGTGGACCCAGAAACTGCATCGGCATGAGGTTCGCTCTCATGAACATGAAAATTGCTCTCGTCAGAGTTCTGCAGAACTTCTCCTTCAAACCTTGCAAAGAAACACAGGTCAGATACTTAACATGTTACCACTCTGTGTGAATAATGCTTGATTGAGAGTTTTTCTTAAACTGAGGTACATATGCATGAGTGTGCTCACTCATTGTTTAATACTTTGTTCTGTTGGACAGAGAATCTATCTGGAGTCACATGTAACCTTTAAGGTCCTGGTAGTCTGGAGTGCTAAGCCTGTGTTTTTATAGGGTGTCCCAAGTTTCATGCAAGATTTGCAATTGAATTGAATTGCAAATCTTTCGTGAATTTTGGGACACCCTATATAAATATCCAAGTATAAAGGCCATCTAGAGTCAATGTAGTTAGTGTGACATGATCAGGTAGAGTCATTTGAGAAAAGTTTAAATTTGGTTTCAAGTCCACTGGAAGGAAGGGAAAGTGCTGTGCACAGTCCTGAAGTACAATGATAACTGGGTCATGACTTTTGAACACTGCTCTTTCCCACCAGAACTTACAGAAGCTCTTGTGAGAGGGTTCTCAACCACTGGTTATACAACGTAATCAGCAGGGATCTTTTAAAAATCCTATGCTGAGGTCATCTCAGATTCTGAAATAATCCATCCTGTGTGGCTTTAAAAGCACCCGGTTTGGTTTTCATATGCAGCCAAGGCTGATTAAAGCATTTCTGCCTGAAGTAAGAACTCCTACAGTCCATGGCCATCCTGGCTACTTGAAACCTGCTTCTGGGAGCCAGGCTGCAATCAAGTTGGATTCTTTACATCCTAATATGAACTCTATGATGTTTTTCTCACTCTCTTCCCCATTCTGTTCTCATCTTTCAAGTCCTAGTTCACTCCCAAAGCCCTTCCAGGAGGCTTCCTGCCCATTTTTCCTCTGCCATGTTATTGCTACTGCAGGCTGGTATCATCACTATCCTTCCTAACCGAAAACTTCATCATTAAACCATCCAGTTTGGTACTCTGTGTTTTCTTTGTATCTAAGAATATCCTTAAGTCTAGCACCTCATTTTATTCCTTTCATAAATTCCCAATAGTGCCTTGCGGTCATTCAGGAAATGCTTAAAGAGTATTTTGCAGTTGATTTGGAGACCATGAATCCACATTTTAAATGATTTAATTTGAAAAAATTAACAAATAACATTTGTAATGTACATTTTCTACGTGTGTTGGTCTGTGTGCAGGGGAAATATATACATGCCATTTGAAATGATAAAATAGGAAGGTTTTACATTAACAGGAAGATCTGGAATCTCTCCTCTGAAGAACATAAGCAATAGTTGTCATTGAGTGATAGCAAGCAAGGCCCTATAATAAGGCTTATTTCTAGGACTTGTATATTTATTATGCAGCTCCTTTCCTTAAGTAGGCTTTCTCAGAGAAGAGGAGGAGGATGAAGATGGTTTCCATCTTATTTGTGGCTTTAGGCAGCTATGCAGTAGTCCTGTAAGTGCATACAAAGGGGGTCTTAGCCCTGAGAGGAAGTGGGCCTCTGCACACCTGTGGGGTGGGGGGGGGGGGTGCAGACACTCCCTGAAAGCTCCCAGTCTTCTCTGGCTTGTGCTTTTCACTCTCCATGACAATTTTCTTGCCCTTCAGTCAACTGAGATATGAAGGTTACTGTGTTGGTGGTTCCCCCAACATTGAGAGTGTGACTCGGTGGGAATAGAGCTAAAAAATTAGTCAAAACACTATTTAGGTCAAAACGCTATTCAGAAGTTCACTATTTACACTGGGAATCAGGAGATGTTAGAAAATAGGCACAATGCTTGACAAATACCTTTTCCCATCATGGAACTAGAAGGCTTCCACTGGGAGAAGTGACTGGACTCTTTAGAAGTGATGGATAATTCAAATAATTAAAATGTATAATATGTACTCAGGTTACCTTGCAAGTTCCAATATGCACAAAATGAATTCTGTATGGCTTTTCTAAATAGTTTTTCATAATGCCTAAGAATCTGGTTTAAACTTCAAAAATCCATTCATTTGCTTGAAATTAAAACCAAAAACAAGCACAAACCAATATGAGTTTGTCTCTGGCCAGAGATGACTGGGAGCTTTCAGGGAGTGTCTGCACCCCCCCAAGGTGTGCCAGAGGCCCACTTCCTCTCAGGGCTAAGACCCCCTTTGTATGCACTTGCAGGACTGCTGCATAGCTGCCTAAAGCCACAAATCAGATGGAAACCATCTTCATCCTCCTCCTCTTCTCTGAGAAAGCCTACTTAAGGAAAGGAGCTGCATAATAAATATACAAGTCCTAGAAATAAGCCTTATTATAGGGCCTTGCTTGCTATCACTCAATGACAACTATTGCTTATGTTCTTCAGAGGAGAGATTCCAGATCTTCCTATTAATGTAAAACCTTCCTATTTAATAGGTGCTGTAATTGATATTTTCTTGAATGAATATACTGACGAATGCTTTCACTGACCAGTCTCGAGACAGCTTACTGAATAAAGAAACAAAGATATATTATGCTAAAAGTAATTTCTATATATTGTAAAGCATTATTGTCCTCAATGTATCTCATCTGCTTTCCTTTTGGTGTTGATAGTGCTTCATTAACTGGTTCTCCTATGCTGTTTAACCTTTGCAGATTCCTGTGGAACTAGATTTTCAAGGAATTATTCAACCAAAAAACCCCATTATTTTAAAGGCTGAGTTGAGAGATGGGACTGTAAGTGGAGCCTGACTTTCCCTATGAACTTACACTTTGTTCTTCAAGGAAGTTGTATCCCCTGACACCAGAAATCTCAGTGTACTTTGTGAATAAAAAAAACAGAAATGAAGATGGGCTTAACCTACTGCACTTGATGGATGACTAGGGAGTCTGTACATTCACTTATCTTCTCAGTGTCTATACAGAGTATTACCTATTGTGTAATATAAGAGAGGTGACTAAATAAGTAGACCGAGTTTATTGGGTTCTTATAATACTATCTCCATCTATTCCCACTTAGTATCATCTACTTACTTAGTACTAATCATGAATACAAATTTCTCTATAATTTTCTCAACAAACCTTAATGAAAACAAGAATCATTATGGAAATGGCAATAATGACATTTATATCACATTTTATTTTGAATATTCTATATTGTATATTATATTGAGCAACTCAATAAACATCTCTTCATAATAGTATTGTCTAATGCTTTCATGCACAGCCAGTGACTAAATGTTTTTAACCATCACAATCACTGGTTGGGTGGGACCTTTTCAGAATTCCAATTTGATATATTAAGATAGATGAGAATAAATCCACTGTGATTTCCCCCATTATTTAGAAAGTACATTCATAATTTAATTCCGCCTTTTTTGGAGCACATATTTTTGTAAGACTCAGCTGAGGCACTTATTATTTTATTATTAGTTTTGATTTAATGTTTTATCTCATCTCCATTGATAACTCTGGAAAATAGGAAACATGTTTTCTTATATTCTTTGTATGTCATCCTCAAGTCCCAACCCTCTTAACACAATGAACATGGAATAAAAGATAGTTGATTGGTCAATTGATTGGGTAGAAAGGCTACAAGCATTCGTCAGTTTCAGAAGTGCACAGGTTTCTTCCTTTTCCATCTCTATCTCTCTCCTGCTGTTTCCTTCCCCTCACTTTACTTCCTTCTTTTCCCTTTCCTTCCCTTGCCTCCCCTTCCCTTTCCTTTTTTTTCTTTCTGGATAATTCGGTCCGAAAGCCAAAAGGTTCAGCACAGCATTATTGGCAGACACACATTGCAGGGCAGGGGTGGGGCAGGGGCAGGGAAGGGAGTCACAGTGGCTCTAACTAGGAGGCTGAGTAGGGTGGAAGGGTATCCACATGGAGGGAATCCTGGTGTGGGTGTGGGAACCCAAACAAGGTGGGAATTGTGTCCATGCAGAGAGGTACCCTGGCGAAAGCATCCAGAGCCTAAATAGGGTGTGGAGAATCCGAGTAGGATGAAGAAAGCATCCATTAGTGCAAAGGGATGGAACAAGGATTTATTATATCAAGGAGGATTGATCAGACAAATAAACATATTAAAGATAATGAAATCCACATTTCTCACTGTTAGAGAAGAGAGTCACTGATTCAGAAGGAGAGAAAAACAGAATGTACCCTGTGGACTCAGAGATTGAAACTGAATGTATTATGTAAGTGTGTACTTTTCTATATAGACTAGAGGCCCAGTGCACATATTTGTGCACCAGTGGGGTCCCTCAGCCTGGCCTGTGGAATCAGGCTGAAACCAGCTCTCTGACATCCCCCAAGGGGTCCCAGATTGCAAGAGGGTGCAGACCAGGCTGAGGGACCCCGCCGGTGCACGATTGGGGCTGGGGAGGGATGTGGGAGGTTGGCCAGCAGGGAGGGACTGTGGGAAGGCTCCAGGGCATGTCCAGCCCATCTCGTTCAGTCTCGATCGGCCAGACCCCAGCAGCAAGCTAACCTACCAGTCAGAGCATCTGGCCCCTGGTGGTCAGTGCACATCATAGCAAGTGTTGAGTGGCTTTAGCATATCATTGGCATATTTCCTTTGTTTGGTTTAATGGATGACCGGACACTTAGCATATTAGGCTTTTATTATATAGGATAGATGATAGATAAATAGCTATGAAGATAAATAGATATAAAGAGATAGATAGATGATAGATAGATAGATAGATAGATAGATAGATAGATAGATAGATATTTGCGCATATGTTATAGAAAACACACGGGCAGAGTTTAGAAACTTTATAGTAATGAGCACACCTTGTGCCCTGATCTTGACTTATAAATACAATTTTCCACCTCAAGGGACCCAGGCTCCTTAGAGCAGTGGTTCTCAACCTTGGCTGCACATTAGAATCACCTGGGAATCTTTTTAAAATCCCAATTTCTGGGCCTCATCCTCCGGAAATTCTGTTTCTTTGTTACTAAGTGTGGAGGCCCCACCCCATAACAAAGAACAGAATTTCCGGAGTAGGAGGCCCAGAAATCGGGATTTTAAAAAGATTCCCAGGTGATTCTAATGTGCAGCCAAGGTTGAGAACCACTGCCTTAGAGAAATGGCTGACTTGGGGCCAGGGTTGAGAAACTCCAAGATGAGCCTGGAACATCTTGTTGTGCTAAAAAGCAAGAAAATGCTAGACACTGAGGGGGACATGCCAAAAGGACAAAGATGCCAAACTGATGGGCTTTCAATGACCAAACCAGGGACCATTCGAGCATCATAATAAATATTGATGGTAAGAATAAATAATAAAGTAGGAAAAGATGAGTACATACAGACATAAATAAATAGATAAATTGCAACTGGATGAGGATATTTATGGTTTCAAATGCTACAGCTCAAAATACCCATTAACTACAAAGTGGAAAGTATAGTTTCACAGTGGAACACTCTGGTAGACACTCTCTTAATCAAGTGATCAGAGTGAGCATCATCAAGAATGAGATGAATTGATCATGCATCACCTGATCCGACAAAGTGAGAAGAACTGGGTATCACCTCTGCAATAGATTTCATACAGCTCCCCCCATTTCATGGATATAAGTATGTTTTAGTCATAGTCTGTATGTTTTCTCAAAGGACTGAAGCTTTCCCTTGTAGACAAGCTACTGCCTCTTCTGTGGATAAAGTCCTATTAGAAAATATTATCCCTGCCTGGGGAACTCCTCTCAAACTCCTTAGTGACTGAGGATCACACTTTTTGCATATAAGATTTTTTTGTCAATCTTCACCAAAGGACATTTGTTCCATTGATTTTTAGAGAGAGTAGAAGGGGGAGAGAGAGAGAGCAAAAGAGAAACATCAATTGGTTGCCTCCTGCACAGGGATCAAATGTTCAACACAGGTACATGCCCTTGACTGGGAATCGAACCCCTGACTCTTGGGTGCACCGGCTGACTCTCTACCCACTGAACCATGCCGACCAGGGCACACATTTGACTAGTCAGGTATTTCAACAAGTCTGCTACTTGCCTAATCTTACAACATTTTCATTGTGCTTACCATCCTCAGGTTTAGTCAAATGTACTAATGGCATTATTAAGGTTAAGTTGGCAAAATTTGTAGAGGTTCTCCAAATACCTTAACTGTAAGCATTGCTGTTGGTCCTTTTAAATTCCCCTTTGGAGCTCATAAAATTTCACCTTTTAAGATAATTATGCCCCATTCATTTGGCTCCTACTTCTTTCAATCACAGTAAAGGGAGAGAAACTTCAATATTGTAAAGGCTTAATTGCTTCTATTGAAAATAACCAACTTTGGAGTGACGTCAGAGGAATAACTCCTGATAGGTCCTCTGGTCTCTCCTGCTGAAGTTTCAACAATTTTAACAGCTACAATTCAACAAAAAATTCCCTGCTCAGTGCACAAATACATCTGAGAGACCTGAGCACTGAAACATCTGAAGGTAGGCAAATGGGAGCAAACTGGGGATTTGGGAAGGAAGAAGAGCTGAGAGGGTGCCAGAGATGTAGCCTGGCTCTCACAGCCTGGAGCTCACTACAGAGGGGAGGAATCAGGCTGCCACTGGAACTCCCTTCAACTGGGAGGAACAAAGAGATGGAGTGAGCATTCCTACAGGAATAAATAAAATCAGAAATGAAAGCATAGAAATTACTACAGACATCACAGAAATACAAAGGATCGTACAAGAATACTATGAAAGGCTGGCCAGTGTGGCTGAGCATTGAACTACTGGTATGGACCAGAAGGTCAAGGCTCAATTCCTGGTCAGGACATATGCCATGTGTTGCAGGTTTGATCCCAATGTGGCGTGTGCAGGAGGCAGGCGATCAAGAATTCTCTCTCATCATTGATGTTTCTCTCTCTCTCTCCCTCTTCCTTTCTCTCTGAAATCAATAAAAAATATATTTTAAAAAGTATTTTTTAAAAAGAATACTATGAAAGACTTATAAGCCAACAAATTCAATAACCTAGAAGAAGTGGATAAATTCCTAAAAATAGATAGCCTTCCTAGACTGAATCACAAAGAAATGGAAAATCTAAATAGACCAATCAACAGTGAGAAAATTGAAACAACCATCAAAAACCTCCAAAAAGTGGAAGTCCAGGACCAGATGACCTCACTAGTGAATTCTACCAAACATTCAAAGATTTGATACCTATTCTTTTCAAACTCTTCCAAAAATTTGAAGAGGCAATACTTCCTAACACAGTTTATGAGGCCAAAATAACCCTGATACCAAAACCTGGTGAGGATAACACAAATAAAGAACACTACAGAGCAATTTCTCTGATGAATACAGACACAAAAATCCTAAACAAAATGCTAGCAAATCGAATACAATGATACATTTAAAATAATACATCACATCAAGTGGAGTTTATTCCAGGGGCAGAAGGATGGATTCAAATATACAAATCAATCAATGTAATACACCACATTAATAAAACAAAGGCTAAAAATCATGTGATCCTATCACTGGATGTAGAAAAAACATTTGATAAGATACAACATCCATTTATGATTAAAACACTCAATAATACAGGAATAGAAGGAAATTACCACAACATAATAAAGGTTATATAAGATAAACCCTCAGCCAATATCATACTCAATGACAAAGAACTGAAAGCTTATTTTTAGGATCAGGAACAAGACAAGGATATCCACTCTTACCACTCTTAATTCAACACAGTACTTGAAGTCCTAGCCAGAGCAATCATGCAAGAGAAAGATATAAAAGTCAATTGGGAAGGAAGAAGTAAGAGTGTCACTTTTTTGCAGATGACATGAGTCCACATGTAGAAAACCCTAAGGACTCCACCAAAAAAAAAAAAAAACTATTAGAAACAATACAATAAAGTTGCAAAATACAAAATCAATATACAAAAATACACTGCATTCCTGTATACTAAGAATAAAGTATCAGAAAAAGAAATGAAAAAATAATTCCTTTTGAAATTACAACAAAAATAATAAAATACTTAGGAATAAACTTAACAAAGGATGTAAAGTACCTATATACTACAAAGCATTATTAAGAGAGATTGAAAAAGACACAATGAAATGGAAAGATATTGTGTTCATGGATTGGAGGAATCACATAGTTAAAAATATCCATAT